TTGGAAATGTACGTCAAGGTTGAAGACGTTCCCAATAATGAGGGTGTGCATAGTAGGGATAACCCCCAGCCATCGGGTGGTTATTCTGGAGCAGTTTTTGCCGAACAGATTCCTGATGAAAGAGCTTGCCTTGATTTAAACTTGTCACCACCGGCGAATGAGCAGCGACAAAATAATTTTTTGACTTTATATAATCCACAAGACGACTGGTAAACTTCAATTTTTCTACGCTTTAGCGATATTTATTTTATGTTTGAATTGGATTTGTATTAACACTCATATTTTTCATAGAGGGTACCATCCGGATATAAATTTTACAAGTTATGATCCCACTCCTAGTTGGAATATGCGTAGTTTTGGAGTGTTGGACCACGGTGGTCCATCCGGGAGTCATCACCAACAAGAAAATGTCCATCATGGAACGTCAACACAGTACGACTTGTAAGTAAAGTGATAAAGCTATATGTAAAGTATTTATCTAGTTGAGTAGCTTGTCATTTTGTTCTTTTTGTGCAGTGAAAACGAGCAACTTGATGTTCTTGACCTCACACAGTTGCCCATAGATGATGTATTGACTCGTGATTTGGCAGATGTGCAGAGTCAGGAAGATGATAGTGATTATGACAACAATGACGATGAGTCTGGATATGATACACCCTTCCCTGATGAGGGTGATGAGGAGGAGGAAGTGAATGTCGAACCTGAGCTGACGAGGGAGCATGCTCCTCCACCTCCCGTTAGACCAAGAGTGTACGAGTCTCACGTACCATTTCATGAGCGGAATATTCCCTACCTTGGTAATTTGCCAAGTATGCCGGACGTGGATGCCCTTACAAGGGATGATGACGAATTTCGGTCAGCAATGTGGTATGAGTCTAGACCAGCGGTGCTGACAAAGGGCATGTATTTCCCTTATAAAGCTCGCCTAATCAGGGCTGTAAAAATCTACAACGTAAGAGAGTGCCGTGAGATGACAGTAAGGGAGTCAACTACGGAGGTATACAAGGTTGTACACCATAGAGACTTTATGGGTTGTCATTGGATGTTGCGTGCCAGCAAGAAGAAATTAGGGTTGTGGAAACTGGGTAAATATATTAGCACCCACAGATGTGAAATGGACACATTCAATGAGAATCACTTCAACCTGGATGTAGACTTGATTTCTCTTGTCTTGATTCCATACTTGGAAGTGTCCATTATGTTCAAGATTAAAGAGTATATTACAGCCGTCTACCAGGAGTATGGGTGTACTATAACCAAAAGAAAGGCATATCTCGGGCGCAAACGTGTCTTTGAAATTATTTATGGTGACTGGGATAAGTCTTTTTCATCTCTGCCCAGGTACATGGCCGCACTGCAACACTTTAACTCCGGGACTGTTGTTGAATGGAGGCGTGAGCGGAGTCCGAAAGACCCGAATATATTTTCAATTATGTGTTCTGGTCATTTAAACCAGCAATTGATGGTTTTGTGCATTGTCGTCCTGTAATTTCCATAGACGGTACTCATGTCTATGGAAAGTATGATATTAAGCTTTTGATTGCAGTTGCAGTAGATGCCAACAGACAAATATTTCCACTAGCTTTTGCCATTTGTGCCAACCAAAGTGAAGAGACGTGGACACTTTTTTGAACCACTTGAAGCAGCACGTTGTCAAACAACATTCAGGTATTTGTCTAATATCTGATCGACATGGTGGTATTTTAAGTTCTGTACGGCATTTGCCTGAATGGCAGGAACTCTATGCATACCACCGTTACTGTGTGAAGCACCTGAAGGCCAATTTCCAAAATAAATATCATGACAAGGCCTTGCATGATTTAATGTGGATGACTGCAACTGAGCACCAGCAGTGCAAATTCACGAGGCGCATGGAAGCGATCCGACAGTTAGATCTACGAGCCTATACTTGACTGATGGGACATGAGCTTCACATGTGGACATTGCACGCTGATGGTGGTAGACGATGGGGAGCCCTGACTATAAATGTGTCGGAGTCATTCAACGGTTTGTTAAAGTCTGCACGTGGATTGCCTGTCACTGCCATGGTCCAGATGACATTCAAACAGATTGCGGAGAGGTTTGTTGAAAGACATAGAGCTGCATCGGTATTGATGGACAAGGGGGTATAATTTATGCCAATACCGATGAGAAGATTTGATAAGTATAGGAGGCGAGCACATTGGCATTCATTTTTACAGTACGATCACGACCGAGGTATTTTTGAAGTTCACACCGCTATTCACGAACACCGGGGGAATAATCTACAGACGATGAATGAAGCCAACAGGTTGTGTTCATATGGGAAATGGACCATCTACCATATGCCATGTGCACATGCCTTGAAGTGCTTTCAACAAGTTGGTTTAGGGGCAACCAACTATATTGATAGGCAATACAGTATTGCTGTATACGTAGACACATATAGTGGGCAGTTGCAGCCATTGGGTGCTGAGCATTATTGGCCGTCGGAACCTTTTAAAATGTTGTGTAACAAGGACAATTTGCGCAAGTTGCAAGTGCAAAAGAGAACGCGTATACGGAACCAAATGGATGTTGGTGACACCGTTTATGCGCGTAAATGTGGCATATACTCGCAAATAGGATACGACCGTTGTAAATGTCCTTCAGCTGGTATGCGTGGCGGTGGTAATCTAGCTCCTGGTACAAGTTCGTCGAATGTACCCAACTATCAAGGATACACCTAGTCTTTTGTTTTCGTATTGTTTTTTGTAATATGTGTATGTACTTGTGTATGTTGCAATATCTATCAAATAAAATTATGTTCCACAATCTTGTTACATCTTATTTTTTAACATGACCTTTTGAATTGGGATGCTAATATGGTAGTTCAACTATTCAACTTATTGGTGTTAGTAAAGAAGACCAATCTTAAAATTTAAAAAAAACCTATAAAATCAAGACATCCTTTATTATCCTTTTTGAAAATTTGCTTCTTAAAATGGTCGTTGTCTTAAAAAAGGAATCAAAGAAAATAACTAAAGCAACGTACAAGAAAATAAAGGATAATAACCAATAGAAAAAATTTAATATGTATAGTGTGGTATAATACTACGTTTTGTGTGTTGTCTTGTCGGTTTGAAAAAAGCTGAACTGACTGTGCAAAAGTTGTTTCATCTCAGAAAAATTTAATATGTATAGTGCGATATAATACTACATTTTGTGTGAAATTTTGCCTATAAATAACGAGCGCATTTTAGTTATTTTCTGCGCTTATCAGTAACCAATAGCAAATATTTCCATAAAATCAAGTGGTCTCTTTACGCTATAACAAATGCCTCAACAACCTCGTTATGTCCCAAGGTGCGAGTGCGGCAAAAGATGCATGATGCACGATTGTTGGGAATAAGTTGGATGCCGCTACT